ACCGGAGGAGAAAGGTGTAGTTGAAGTAGGAGTGGTTTCTTGCATTAGCTCATGGCTCCTCCCCACAACTGGTTGGAATGGACTGATGGATTTGAGCCGTTTGGCTTGCTGGTACGCCACATAAAGGACAACAGCAACAAACCTAACGTGTATAGAATAACGAGAGCCGAGATCTTGATTCTTACCCGAGTATAAAGCTGCAAAAAGAGGAAAAAAGGAGACCATACCAGCCTAGACCAACCCACATCTTTTACGTTATAGGCGGGGCTAGAAAAATAGGCGTGGCTCGTCATGGTTGAGTTTGGTAGGCGGAGCTAATGCACTTATGAGAATAAAATGGCGACCAAAGTGGAGGAACTCATGAAGCTTGTTAGCGAAGGGAAGCTAGAAGAAGCTGGCAAACTGGCAAGGGAGGAGTGGGGGCAGATAACGAGCCTTGACTCTACACAAAGAGAGTCTCTCCTTGCTTCCTGTGCGCCTGCGGACCAGTCTTTAGTCTGGCTGGCTGTCCTGTAAGTACTGGAATTAAGGACTCCAGTAGCTTTTCCTACTCTTTTTTTATTTACTTCACTATAGATCAGTTGAGGTGAAGCAGCCACTGATAGACTGGTCGGTTTTTATTCCTCTAATCACAAACTTCTCTGAGAACTTCTCTCCAGAGCAAGCTCGACTTCATCCACAAGCATGTGAGACTAATTTTTTTTTAATTTTTTGTATTCATGCGTAGTTTTACTCATTCATAGTTTTATTCGTCCAATAATTTATTTTTAATTTTTATAGTCTGTGATTTAATCCATCAGTTCACGGAAAATCTTTGTGTCAATAGAAAGGTACAATAATTATTTATATATTTAAAAAAATGTTTTTCTTTATTATTTTTTCTAGGCTATATTAGGTATAAATTCAGTGCGGAGTGTTGTACAAAGGTATCCTCCTAATGAACATACTCTTACTGCTGTGCATAGCGATTTAATACAAGTAAGAATGAGGAATTAATATTTGCTTTCATGCTTTTCTCTCTCTCTCTCTCTTATTTTTTAGTTATGTTTAGCTGCTAAGTGTTTAAAGCCATGTCTTCCTTATCTTGCTAGAAACTACACTGAACTACTAACTGAAGTAACTCATGATCCATTGTAACCTCTATTACTTTCATATCTATCTTCCCTAGAAATCTCAATTTGATTCCAAATATGTTGTTCTTTACTTTTATTATGGAGGAATGACTTACACTTGTCTCCACGACTACCTCAGAGCACTCCAATTATTCACCATGGTAACCAGACTACACCCTTTTAAAATATTATTATTTAAATTTTTGCAGTGTTTGTGTGTACCAGCAATAGCGGTCAGTGCTGTCATGCTAGCTGCTTATAAGAAGTATATACTAGTCTGTTTACTGAAATATAACAAAGTAAGATTAATTATTTTAACAATAAAAACTTTGTTCTTATTTTCTTTAATTTTCAATTCTTAGATGATTCAATTACCGAAATGTGCATCGCACTTAGTAGAAAGAGTTTTTAAGGTATTACTATTATTATTATTATTATTATTATTATTATTATTATTTTATTATTTATTTATTTATTTATTTATTTATTAGAGCCCATGTGGACACTATTTAGAGCTAGCCAAAGCCTACGCTACTGGAGATCATTAG